CATCCTTACTATTTTAGCGAACCGATATCCGAATTTCCGATTGACCTCCTGATCTTCCACATAATTGTCCCCGCAACCTTTACTTTGGCAAAACCGAAACGTTTATTTCGAACTCTGTTCGAGAATTGGTGGCACATTACTTCGCATCGCCTGAGATTAACATCATTCATGTTTGGTGGTGAACGACGTTACGACGAAGAAGGCACCCATGTCCGTAAGACATGGCGTGCTGTTTTTCTAAATCTCAAGGCGCCTTTGGACGGTACAGGTGATGAAAATGACGAGGTTGTATTCGTTAGGGATGGTGTGCTGGTTAGGGCTCCCGGTTATGATGGTGTACCGGTGATACCTGGGAAACGGATGTTGATACCGGTAAATGAAGATGGTACCTTACTGAATCCTGAGGACGCACCAATAGACGATGATCTCGGCTACACAATTGTTTATACTCCTCCTAATTTTAAAGCAAGAGTTATCTTGTTCTTGTTCCTTATGTGGCTGTGCGGTTCTCTGTTCTGCTGTTCGGTGACTGTTTTACCATGTGAGTCTTTTGTTTTGTTTTTTATCCCCTATTTATTTTCAAGGGTTGAACTATTCATTTTTAATTGCAACCTTCTTTATAAAGTGTTGACCGGTCGATTTATATTTAAATCATTTAATCACGAGCGCCCTGTTCACGATCTGTACTCCTTTACCGTTGGATTGTATGTCATGTGGTCGATTGGTGTCGCCCTCGAATGGTTGATTCGAAAATCTCGGGCTATAATTGAAAAGCGAGATCGTGATATTGATTGGGCTATTGTTCGGCGTAAAATCTGGCAAAGCACAATTATGGTTTCGAAGATAATATATATTTTAATTTCATTTGGCATTGTCATTCCCTTCCTTCTTTCGTTGGTCGTCGAGTTATACATCCTTCTTCCCTGGAAGAAGCCTACCGCAGATTTATTGACCATATCTTTCCTGCAGGTATTATTATGCATATCACATTTATGTTTTATTTATTTCAATTTACATCTGTTTTAAAGAGCTGTTACATTCAGAACTGGGCGCTGGGAATTGTATACGTGAAAATAGCATATCGGATTATCTTTATGCTTCCCGATAACATTTATAGCAGAGCCATTAATGATGTGTGTATTTCTGATTTTTTTTTTTACTAGTTTCGCTTATTTTGTTAGTGCAAAATTTGCTAATTTTGTTTGTTAGATTATTGGGCGTGGCGTTCGACACTTAAACATTCGATTGGCGACTACCGTATTTGTCATCCCTGTAGGGGGTTCTGCGTTGGCGGCTGTTATATTACCTGCACTGACCGCTTATGTGATAATCAGCTTGTTTGGTAGTTATTTTTCCCCAAGAATTTTAGCGAATTATTTAAGTATTTTTAATATTTTGCTGCCTTTCATCTCATACCTCGGTTCGATTTTCGTTTATCTAGCCATCAAAAATGCTGCTACTGCAGCTATTATCCAAAGATACGTATATCCGATTTTTCTGGCGATGGTATTTGGTTATAGACTTCAACGACAAACAACTCAACTGATACAAAATTGGATGCAGACAGTCAGGGATGAGGAATACTTGATTGGTCGACGATTACATAATATTGAACCTAATGAACAGGAGAATGTTTCTGGTAGCTCTCGAAATGCGTCGGTCGGTCCAGTAGCGGAATAGACTTTCAATATCACTAAATTATTTGTACCCGTCATACATTCACCCTAAAATTATACACAAAAAAAAAAAGCATTGTTTTTATAGTTATGCAACCTTTTGAAAAAAAAAAAAAAAAAAGACTTTATGCCAATTATAAAAAATAAGGGCATAATAAATGTTACATCTGTACAAAATTATACATTTTACAACTCCCATATTGTAGGCCGCGTTTATGAATAAAACCGATGATGCGTCAACATACGGTATACTGTTGTGAGTTGCTTAATAACTTTTCAAGATCAGCACGAGGTCATTTCAAACTTTGGCCAAAATTGGTCCTAATTTCACCAAGGATTTACACTTTACATTTAGTATTATTAATAAAAAATAATTTGTTTTGTTAAATTTATTCACAAATTATAATATAAATTTTAATTTTTTGTCTATGTACAAAATTTAAAGAGTATTTTCAACTATTTAAAAATAGAATAAATAATTTTTAATCATTTACAAAGTTTAAATTAAATATTCTAAGTTAGATTTAAGAACAATATTCTATTTCTTTGATAAATTAATATTGGATCTATGACAATTAAGATTATTGCTAATAGTTTATCACTATAGATTATTTTAAAAAATAATAAATTGATTAATTAATACATTAAAAAAAAAAAAATAAATTAATTCTTATTCAAGTTAACAATTTCTTTTAAAAAAAAAATACAATATATTCAATTAAAATATTTTTTAATTTTGAAAACTTATCTATTTCTAAATAGTAAAATTGCTTTAAAAATTTTTTTATTTTTTAACTAATATATAAATTAATAAAACATTTTGAAAAAGTTTATTTAATTAAAATAAAGAAATTTATGAATAATTAAGATAAAAACTTACTTCAATAATTTATGATATAATTAAGATACTCATAACTTGTTCCTTTTTAGTACATAGTTCTCCATTTCATTAGTAAACTTCTGTAAATATAAGGTAGTAGCAGATAATATGGATGGTGTCAATGCCTTCAGTTAGATTTTGGTTTCTAAAAATAGAATTTATTAATTATTATTAAAAATAAATAAAATTAATAAAACTATAATTATGATTATTTTCATTATTCTTATAGTCATAACCTTTATTTCCTTTTCTTTCAGTTTGGCTAATTCAATAATAAATTAATAAAATAAAATAATACAAAATTAGATTATGTTAAATAAAACATACCTATATTATCATTTTTTGAAAGTATCTCAATTTCACTATCATTATATTTGTCATTATCATTATTGTTGCCCACTCTTTTCTTTCCTTTTTTCAAGTTTCCTAAATAAAATTAATAAGAATTAGTAAGGTAACATAAGTTAAACTTGGATTGTATTAAAATAGATATACCTATATTGACATTATTATATTTAACACCATTACTGTTATTACCTACCTATTCTTTTTCTTTTCTCAATTCATCTATTTTAGCAAATAAAATTAATAAAGTAACATAAGTCAGACCTGAGTTGTGTTAAATTGTACATACCTATATTGTTTTCATTAAATTTATTACCATTGCTATTGTTACTTATTTATTCTTTCCCTTTTTTCAATTCATCTATTTTAACAAATAATATTAATACAGTAATATAAGTCAAACCTGGGTTATGTTAAATTGAATGTATCTATATTGTATTTATTATATTTGTCATCATTGTTATTGCTACCTATCCATCCTTTTTCTTTTAATTTATTTATTTTAGCAAATATAATTAGCAAAGTAATATAAACTAAACTCAGATTGTATTAAATTAAATGTACCTATATTGTTCTTACTATATTTGCTACTATTATTGTTACATCCTATCCGTCTTTTTTCTTTTCTCAATTAATTTATTTTAGTAAATAGAATTAATAAAGTAACATAAACCAGGCTTGATTAATATTAAATTGAATATACCTATATTGCTCTCATTATATTCATTATTATCATTTTGCTATTCATCTGTAATAATGGATTCCTAAAGTATTTGGCATATAAAATTTTACCAATTACTTATATTTCTTTTTAAGGGACAAAATTCATAACTCTTCACTTTAATAGAGACAAAAGTCAAGAAATACTATAAATCAATAATTTGAATAATGAAGAACAATTATGAATAGTTTTTTTATTATTATTAATTTAAAAATTTTAAAGCTTCCTAATGAGGAACATTTGACTTTTGTTCTTACCTCCCTCTTTAGGGATCCATCTTTATTTACCTGCCTTTTTACTTTTCTTGATTTGACTATTTTGCTACTCAATCACTTTTTCAGTTCACCTATTTTGCTACTCAATCACTTTTTTAATTCACTTATTTTAATAAATATAATTAATGAAGAAACAAAAACTGATCTTGAATTGTATTAAATATATATATTCACATATGTATATCCAATTGAATAGATTCCATTGATTCAGTTTTGCACATTAAATCTAAAAATTTATTTTGTTAGTATAACTTTTTAAAAAAATTATTAATATGCAATTTTTTTTTTACTGATGTGTTGGATTAACTGTATCAATTTATTTGTACTTGAGCCAACTTCCATTATAAAAATTACAAATAAAATTAGTTCATACCATGTTTGATTGATAATTACAAACTAAAAAAAAATATATACTCACAAATTCTTCATATTTCATTTTCAGATTTTTGTTATCTGTCTTATATTATTACTTATCTCAAGAACAATATTTAGCTTTTTTGAAATTTCTTCTCTCTTAATATTTGTGGTAGAAGCAATAAATATGAATTGTCTTTGAGCACTATTGGTGTATATTACTTCTATTCTATTATCAATAAATTTGATTTTATGAATATACCAATCAAAATTATAAAGAGAAGCAAGTATAATGATTGTATTAAATCATTATTAACTAAAAAAAATTAGAATTATTTATTATTAAATTTAAATATTTAGCACAAACTGAACTTGGCATGTGCAAAAAAAAAATAAGTATTTACCCATAATTAAGTGACATTATAAAGTAAAAAAAAAAGAAGAAAGAAATGAAGGATTAAAATAAAAAAAAATAAAAAAAATAAAAAAAGAAACTATATTTATAGATGTCATAATTTTATATTATATGTAATTGTCATTTACTCATTACATCAATTACATATTTAGTCATATCAATATATATGATTATCAAAGGTTTTAAACCATTATAAAATTTTTTGATTTAAAAAAGTTTATAACCAAATCATTATTTTTAGTCAAAACCTATATAATCATAAAATAATTATATAATATTTTAATAATTATATAATATTTTAATAATTAAAAAAATTAAATCAAAGTCAAAATAAAAAAGATTTATTGATTATAATATAAATTAAAAATTTTAATCACTGCTTGCTAGGGGCCCTTGTCACCATAACTTTAAACATATACATGTCCTTATTGTTTTGTCTAAAGCTAATTTCTTTTTTTAGTAATTATAGTAAATTTTTGCTAATTAAAAAAATCTATTCTATAGGCATACTGGTTGCAGATATTGCTAAGTAATTATGTGCAATATATATCAAATGTAAAAATTGCCATTTATTTATTTTTCATCATTTCAAAATATCTGTTTTTTCTATTACCCAAGATAATAAAAAATATTGCTGTAATTCATTTTGATTTTCTATATATTATCACTTAAATAATTTTGCTCTAACTATATTATATACAGTATCTCTCTTGTTTTGGTACCTTTTACAGTTCTTGAATTTAATTCTCTATACTCATGAAAAATATTATCTATATTAGAAATTAAAAAATATTTAATATTAGTAAGTTATATTACAAATAAGTATAAATATAATAAATATATTTACTCTTTTTTTATCTCTTCAATT